GCTACACCAAACAATGTGACATAGACTTCGAAATTAAAATATGTTATAATCACCTCTTAAAATCTATATCAAATAGCCACATTGTGATGAGATTTTTGAAACTCTAAGCAAACATTTAAATTGGAGCTCTATACATGTAATCAAAAAAAAGTTGTTTTTGAGTACAATGATAACTATTTATAATTATTTTTATGTATTTTTTAAAACTTTTTTAGCGTCTGCACAAAGCTTAGTTACATATATAATCACTAAAATTATATTTTAAAATTTACATATACGGATTAAGATATTAAAAAAATCATTACAAAAATTCAATAAAATAAACATTTGGTCTTCTGCTATATAATTTAGCAAAATTCAGTTTACAATAATAATAATAAAATAAAATAAAAAAGTGAATAAAACCTAAAAGTGTAATACCAAATAAAATTAAACTAAGGACAATAAAATATCATCACTTAAGGTTGTTTTGGCAACTGATAATAATAGTCAAAAAGTTAAAAAGTCAATAAAATGTCAAAAACGCTAAGAACTATATAAAAAAGTCAAAGATTTCATTTCATATATTTTTAGTACATTTTTTTCATAAAAAGTCAAAAAAAAAAATCCCAAACATATTAAAAAAAGAATTCAACTCATATTTTTGCTAAAAAATTAAAACGTTACTAAAATAACCTATTCTCAAACTAACCCTTAAATATTTATATTCTCGCAACATGATTGATAAAAAAAAAATACTCTCGCAACATGAGTGATAAAAAAATACGATTATGAATTATGTTAGATTGGGTTCTCAGTTTTTAGCCTACTAATACTATAAAACCAAAATTATTTGGAACTCTAATTTTTAAAATTTGCGGCCCAAAGATAGTGATTTTGCTACTGTACACAAGGCATATAAGTTTATCATTATTGTTTTTCATGAAATAAACAGTTAATGCTTTATAGGTAAATTACACCCTGTCCCTTTAAATTTATGATTTTTTTTCCTACTTTGAGCTTTTACATTTGTGATTTTTTTTCAATTTACTTCAAAAACTAACTTTCGTTCAATTTTTGATGAAAATTCCATGTGGCAAAATGGATAAATTACACTATGCGTCCCTTAAATTTTATAGTTTCCCACTTTGCATTTTTAAGTATTTTTCTCGCTTTGGTCCTTGGTTGTGTTTGGCTGAGGGATTCGAGAGAGAGATTTGGAAAGAGAAAGAAAAAAGGTATGTGAAGTTAGGTGAACGTAACATCACCCAGGCGGTACCCGTGCTTGTTAGCAGTTCGTGTCACGTCCCAAAAATCTAAACAATAAAGATTTATCAACTTCCATAATGTAAATGGAAACCAAATCTCAATATTAACGTCATTCTCAAATCCCCAACATATGTATTCCTTAATCATCAAGAGATTTATGAAAGGTGTTCCACATGCAAGTATACATTCAACATCTCTAGTATGTGAATTTATAGCATGTGGCATAATAATCAAGTACAAATAAATGCCCTCAAGGGTTATAAATTCCAAGGCTTACGCCCAGTTACACAAAAGTGGTTTTCAAACCTATACATATAAAGCCCTTGGCTTGTCAAAAACAATTACAACAGAAGAAAAGAGCATTGTGCTCTCAAAACATATTTCACACCTCTAACTCGGAAGGATCACCACATTTTTTCCTGTACAAAATCCCATATGGTGAGCACAAAGTCCAGTAGGAAAATCTTAACAAAATATATACATTTTATACAATCTCATCGGGTGAAAGTATATGCCATGTCATGTTCAAAACCCAATATTTTTATCTTTTGAAACTTTTGTGCGTAATGCAATCTCAAGAATTTAACAATTCAATAATTTCAATGTAGTTCAAACGGGGCGGTAAATACAACTCAGGTAATCCCTAGGTTGGTGTCTATAAGTAGGCATATCAAGCACTACCAATCCCCACTTTACCGGTAGCTAACCGGAAGGCACGTGGTACCTCATTCGTGAATGTTTTCGATCTTTCACCAAGGACACTCTGGCCAACTTAACCAATATTTACCTCAAAAACAAATCAATACGACCTTGTTTTCACAAAACAATTTCCTTTTTCAAAGTAATGCCTTTTTCCAATGTAATATTTAAAATCAATCACATCAATGCTAAAATGGAATGGCAATGCAAAATGTCTAATACATTAATGTAATCCATTTTCAATTTCCCTCACACAATTGTCATAACCCAATACCGCCCCTATGGATAGGGTCATCACTGGCCAATAATCATGAGATTGCTTGCGGCCTCAAACTTGATTAAATATATTACAATAAAAATGAGGGGCCAAAAGGAAGCAAATTTAAAAAATTTTGTCCAATGAGCCGTGTTTACATGGCAAAGCAAAACATTTCAAAAGTAGTCTATAATAACTCACACACATATGCATAGAGTTAACAAGTTATATTCATCCAAGAACTTTCAGATATGCAGCCAGCCAAACAAAAACTTATGTACATAGGTGATCCAACGTGTTCACCAAAATAGCAGAAGAGTAAACAAAAGATCAAAAAAACAAAAAACAAAGTTTCGTGCGTAAGACATTTAGGCTGACTCTTCAAACTAACTTCCTCTCACATTCTTCACTGAGGCTGGGTTTAGACCTCTTTTTGCCCACCTACATGCACATAAATGAGAGTGAGCGAAAGCCCAGTGAATAATATCAAAATAAATAAATTACATGAATGAAATTCGTAACAGACATATCCAACGGCCTTAGGCCTATTCATATTTCTATCTAGTACATCAAACGGCCTCAGGCCTAAACCTATCAAACGGCCTCGGGCCCAATTCATCCATATCAAATGGCCTTTGGCCCATTCACTTATGTCCCACGGCCTTTGGCCCAATCATTTATGTTATATGGCCTTTGGCCCAATCATTCATATCAAACGACCTTTGGCCCAATCATTCATATCAAACGGCCTTTGGTCCAACATTCATATCAAACAACCTTTGGCCCAATTATTCATATTAAACAGCCTTTGGCCCAACAATCATATCAAACGGCCTTTGGCCCAATTATTCATGTTGTGTGCATTTCATACTTGAGATCATAAGCATGTCGTAATCATAATCATATTCCAATGGCTTTATTCAATCATTGGCATGACGAATATCCAATTCAATTAAACAACTCCGTAGAACTCATACGTAAGTGAGCATTTGGAAAGTATCATACTCTAATACATTCTTATTAAGATATTACCCACAGTGTTCTGTTGATGGATTCGCCCTTGCGATTGGCCCTATACAATTTACAACATATCTGATCATAAGCGATTCAATCCGTTCTCAATTTTTTTTTATTTCTCTTAGGCCTCTTTATTACCCCTTTAACTCATTTACAATGTTCCATGCATGCCTAAGAGTGCTTAGAAATGAAAGGGAATGGAAAAAGGAGCGTAAAATAACTTTTCAAAATTTCTGAAACAGGGCTCTCCACTCGAGCGCAGGATTGGTTGCTCGAGCAGACTGTAAAACTCTGAGAAAGTACTGGTTGCATGCATTTTACGCTCAAGCGAGACTTTTGACGCTCGAGCGAGGAGTCTTGCAAAACAGGGTACGCTCGAGCGCAGCTTTGGCTGCTTGAGCCTCTATGTAATTTCTGCAAAACTTCTGGGAGCTCGACTTTCACGCCCGAGTGACACTTTCCTCGCTTGAGCAGACAAGTCGAATTCTGTGTTTTCCAGAACTCTGTTTGAAGCTCAAATCACACTCCCAAAGGCCCAAAGCTTGCAGTTCTTGTACCAAAATATGGAAAAACATTGCCTAGCATGTAAACATGGGTAACTTGAACTCTGTTTGACACTCAAATCACACTCCCAAAGGCCCAAAGCTTGCAGTTCTTGTACCAAAATATGGAAAAACATTGCCTATCATGTAAACATGGGTAACTTGAAACCAATTGTCCAAAAATCATGATCCATATTTCAAATCATCACAAACTCTTTTGTAATTTCAAAACTCATGCAACTAAGCCTCCAATCTTCATAAATCATGTATGTGTGTAAAATATTTACTCCAATTCCACGTCAAATGTTCCAAATGATGCTTAAGGTCATAAGGCTCAACAAAACTATACATGCATGAGTAATTTGACGCTTAATTTTACATACTTAACATGCCAAAAGCTGAAATGTATATAAAGCTCACATGCATGTCTATACAAACTTCAATTTCATCATATTTAGCTCAATTCTTGATCTTGGTTACATACCATGCTAAAATTCATGCAATTATGGGCTTAAACTCAAGAATTTGAGTTCATTACTTACCTAGGAGCTCTAATCCTCCAATTTCTAGTTAGTTCTTGAGTTATCTTCCTCAATCTTCAAGCAAATTGCCTAATTCTTCAAATTTTGCCTTCACTCTCTCTCTAGAGCCGTCTCTCACTCTCTCTCTAGAGTGTAACTTCAGATTTTGAGCTCATAAGGTGAGCTTAAGTGTGTTTGGCCCTTATATATACTAAGTGGTTAGTTTAGACTAATCCATCTTAATTAAGGTTAACTAATTGAGTCTAATTCAATCAGTTTGATCCAAATCAATTTTTAATTAAACTTCACTATAGGCTCTAAAAATCATGCTAATTGCAAAAATACAAACAATTTCAGTTTATGTCGCCACTACAGCGTTCAATTTAACTTCTATAGTAGAAAATCAAACAGATTTTCCTACGGTGAACAGATAGAAATTCAAAAACACATATAATCATATAAATGGCACTCAAAATCATATTAACCACATAACCACAATCATAATTAAGATTAATTAACATAACATGAGACAGAGTTATCACAATCTTCCTCCTTTTTAGGATGTTTGGTCCTCCAAACTTGTTGCACCTCTATCCGGGAACAAATGTCGATAGCGTAGTTGCATCTCATCCTCTTTTTCCCATGTGGCGTCCCTCTCATATGTTCTTTCCACTCTACCTTCACCATTGGGATGGACTTGTTTCTCAGCTGTTTCACTTACCGGTCAATGATTCGTTCTAGCCATTCTTCATATTCCATATTTTCATCTAGAGCTATCCGATGGTAATCAATCACATGAAACAGATCTTGAAGATAACCCCCCAACATTGATACATAGAACACATTGTGCATTTGTTCGAATCCTAGTGGCAAGGCAACTCTACAAGTAACCGAACCAAGTCTTTCTAGAATTTGAAACGGTCCAATGTAACAAGGTGACAATTTACCTTTCTTACCAAACCTTAGCTGGCCTTTCATCGGATTTGCACGAATAAATACATGGTTGCCAACCTCATACTCAAGAGGCCTTCTTCGTACATTTGCATAATTCTTCTGCCGGCTCTGTGCCATCTTGAGCCTTTGTTGGATGATTTTAATCTTCTCAGAAGTGTCTTGCACAATTTCGGGTCCAAGCAGGGCCCTATCCCCAATTTCTGTCCAACAAATTGGCGATCTACACTTTCTGCCATACAAGGCTTCATATGGTGCCATACCGATGCTAGAGTGGAAGCTGTTACTGTATGCAAAAGTCTGCTAGTAGCAAATAGTCTTCCCAACTCCCTTGAAAATCCAAGGCACACATCCTGTGCATATCCTCTAAAGTCTGTGCGGTTTGTTCTGATTGCCCATCTGTATATGGATGGAATGCAGTGTTGAAGTTCAGTTCTGTTCCCACAACTCTTTTTAAACTTTTCCATAATCTGGATACAAATTTCGGATCTCTATCCGAGACAATGGATACCGAAACCCCGTGTAAACGAACAACCTCATCAACATATATAGTGGCCAACCTATAAGCATCAAAGGTGGTCTTCGCAGGTAGAAAATGTGCAGATTTAGTCAATCTATCAACTATGAGCCAAATAGAATCCATAACTCTAGGAGTTTGAGGTAGGCCAATAACGAAATCCATGGTCATATGTTCCCACTTCCATTCCAGAATAAGGAGAGATTGAAGTAGACTGCCTGGTTTCTGATGTTTAGCTTTAACTTGCTGACATTGAAGGCACTTGGACACATACTCTGTGATTTCCTTCTTCATTTTGGGCCACCAATAGCTATGCTTCAAGTCCCGATGCATTTTGTTATTGCCTACATACATAGCAAACACCGACTTGTGAGCTTCATCTACGATTCTTTTCTTTAGTTCAGGAATGTTCGGAACACATATTCAGCTTTGAAATCTCAATGTTGAATTCTGGTTTCGGGTTTAATTCAAAATCATCGATTATTTTCTTGAGGAACTCACCCTATTTTTGCCTTTGCTTGATTTCATTAATTATTGCTGGTTCAGCAAAAATGGCGGCTGGCATTATCCTGGCTTGTTCATGTAACACAACTTCAATCCTGGCTTTTTCAAAATATTGCAAGATTTCTTTCTGTTTCGTGAGTAGGCAAGCTACGTTCCCCATTGATTTTCTGCTCAATGCGTCAGCTACTGTATTAGCCTTTCCTGGGTGGTACTGAATCTAAAGGTCATAATCTTTTATTAGTTCAAGCCATCTTCTTTGCGGCATATTCAACTCTTTTTGAGTAAAGAAGTACTTCAAACTTTTGTGATCCATGTAGACCTCACATTTTGCTCCATACAAGTAATGCCGCCAAATTTTCAAAGCAAATACAACTGAGGCCAATTCCACATCATGTGTTGAGTAGTTCTTTTCATGTGGTTTTAATTGTCAGGAGGCATAAGCAATCACCCTTTCGTTCTACATTAATACATAACCCAAACCTTTATATGAAGCATCACTATATATCTCAAAGTTTTCCATACCTGAGGGCAATGTCAAAACTGGTGCAGTGACTAGTTTTGTCTTCAATTCTCGAAAGGCAATCTCCCTTTCATTAGTCCATTCGAATAGTCGTCCTTTGCGTGTGAGTTGGGTAAGTGCTACGGCTATTTTTGAAAAATCTTTCACAAACCTTTTGTAGTACCCAGCTAAGCCCATGAAACTATAGACTTCTGTTATATTTGTTGGTGCAGGCCAGCTTACAATTGCTTCTATTTTCTGTAGGTCTACCAAAATCCCTTCCTTGTTGATAACATGCCCTAAGAAAATAACTTCATCCAGCCAAAATTCACATTTCTTTAGTTTAGCAAATAATTTTTTGTTTCGAAGTGTTTGCAAGATAGTTCTCAAATGGTGTTCATGTTCAAGCCTACTCTTTGAATATATCAAGATATCATCAATAAAAACTACAACAAATTCATCGAGGTAAGGCTTAAAAATTCGGTTCATAAGGTCCATAAATGTTGCAGGGGCATTAGTCACTCCAAATGGCATAACAAGGAATTCATAATGACCATACCTCGTTCTGAATACAGTTTTCTCAATATTTCCTGCCTTTACCTTCAACTAGTAGTACTCGGATCTCAAATCAATTTTAGAAAACATTTGCGAGCCCTGTAACTGATCAAACAAGTCATCAATATGGGGTAAGGGATATTTATTCTTTATCATTACCTTATTCAATTCATGATAGTCAATACACAATATAGCTTGGCTTTTTCACGCCCCCTTTGAGAAACTCGAAAGAAGCCCTACAGTTCTGACTCCTATGGTTTTGAATCTAATGTCACAAGTGCAATGTGAAATAGATAGACACCAAAGAGTCCATATCTGGCAAATTGTTTAGAAAATTGATTTTGAATCAAAAATGCCAAAATTGGACTGTTTTGCTAGATACAGAGAAGCCACCTAAATATTTTATTTTTGGAGAAATTTAGGAAACCCATGACTCGTGCCAAAGGCCACGTGTTCGTCATCACCAAAGTTGCCACAGCTAGAGAACTTGGGTACGAGAGGGGAAGGTCATGAATACATTTGAGCACCCCCGCTCATCTAATCAAAGATCGACCTTTACTAATCATGATATAAATCTTATGTACATTATATGCTCTTGTTCCGGTTTATTAGACTAGCATTACTATGTGATGCTCACACACATAAGGTATAGCCTAGTTTGGTCAAATTGGAACAATTCAACTTCATGTTTGTTTTTCGAAAAGGGTTTGATTTTTCCACTTAACAAAGTGGGCTTAAATGTACATTCATTGAATCATTCTAATTCAAGCAACAAGCCTTCATCCACAAGCACTCAAACAGTTCAACAAGTAAGCACTCAGCCTCATGGCAAGCATGTCATACATGGCAACAATCACACTCATGCAATTATGATGAAGTACTAAAACTTACCTAGTACTCCAAGCTAAGATAAAACAAAAGAGTTAGCAAAGTACATGATTTCTAACTATACGATATGACTAATACAACACATACGAAGAATGCAATTAATAAGCTCAGCTACTAATATGGTATATGAATTGATTTAAATAGCATGCAGTCTAAGCATGTATTCAAAGAAGTATTGAAATGACAATGCAGTTAGAATGATGAATAAAACCTCGGTGCATGCAATACAAATGAATGCAAACATGAAGTATGCTAATTGAAACATGATGCTTCTAATCTAACCATCATAAGCGGATAAATCAAAGGGAGAAAGACGTGGGGATAAAAGACATACACATTATTACATTACGTTCTCATGAAGGAGAGTCTGAACGAAGAAACTAGCTAATTAACTAACTAATTACATTTAAGCTAATTAAGATAATTATTACAAAACCGAATGAATGACTAGCTAAACTACTTAACTAGTTATTATAACACTTGAATTAACTAACTAGCTATTCTAACTAATTAAATAATTACGACACAAATGCAATTAAAATAAGTAATTAAACTAAGCAACTGACTACTATGCCTCGGGCAACGAGGGATGTGCATGTGCATGCTCGGATTCCACCCAAAAAGACCACCGTTTGGCTTCTGAATACCTCTATTTGCCTAGTTGAACACTAACACTGCTGCTCACTCTGCTTTGCCTCACCAACACTCTGTTGTGTTTTGCTTCAGTGGCTGGCCAGCCACTGGTAGAGGCTGTCGGCCACCAGTCGGCCATGGTTGAAGGTTGCCGACCAGGGACGGTGGTCTGCCAGCCACTGATGCACAGGTTCATCTTGCTGTAATAGAGGACAAACGGAGCATATACAGGGTATTTCAAGGGTTTGTTTGGACAACCTATCCCTTCTTTTCATGGTAAAATCAAAGGAGTAGCAAGTTTTGGTTCACAAACCATCAATGAATGCAATTTCTTACATGATGGCTTGTGAAACCAAATGTGCAAGTTCAATAAATGCAAAACAAGACACAAACCTCCTCCCTTTCATGAATGATCAAGGGAAGAAGTTGGCCTTGGAGACTTGAATCATTTCATTACTAGCAAGCATGAAATGGTTCAAGTTTCCATGTGTTCAATTAACGTCTGATTGAACACAAGAAATTATTATCTTGCTCACTTTTAGTCCCAAGTGTTAGTTACTCATTTTAATTTACCAACCATTCTTTAGTCGAATTAAGTCCAAAAGGTGAATTAAAGTCCTCTAATGGAAAGAGGGCTCAAAACACAAGTTGCTTTGCGTATGAAAGAAGCATCATACCATTGGTAATGAACCCCTTTTGGGATTAAACCATTAAGTATGAAACCTCAATTTCATACTAAGGCAAGCAAGTGACTTGAAACCACTTTCATAGCAAAATTAAAAGCCAAGAAAGAAGGAAGGTTGCAGAGATTATGCTTGCTGAAATGAAGTACGAAAAACACTAAAACAATGCAATCAACTCAAACAAGTGGTGTCTAAAGACCTAAAACACCAAGCTTGTGAGGGCACTTACACTAGAAGCATGCGAAACAAGACTCAAATGACATAACCAACCCAAAACAGAGTTAAAACAGTCTATATCAGATATTAAAACATACTGGAATTAGCTAAAACAAGCCAGATTATTAAGCTAACACATAGCATAAACTAGGCTAGTAAGCAAGACACAAGCAGGGGAGGCTAACCCCTCCAAATTTGAACTTCAAAACATGATTTTAGCCACTGAAATAGCTCTGAAAATCAGTGTTTAAAAGCTTGGAAAAAGATAGTAAAAAAGTGGGAAACATAAGGGCGAAGGCCTCCAAAACAAGGTACAAAGAACGGCTATCAACCCCTCAACCTTTAATGGCCTGAAACCCAAGCTTCAGCCTAAAAAAACATAAAGTTTTGACGGCCCAAAACAATCAAAAAATGGTAGGAATAGAAGCAAATAAAACAAAGTTACAAGCAAAGTCTTATACCTTTGAAGAGAAGAGTGTAGACACCTCATTTTTTACCGTCCTCAAGACTTGGACGTCATCGTTTGAACACTTGGTGATCATCCATGTTCGTGTTTGTTTTGAGTTCTCAGAGGTCTCAGCTACGCGCCTTGCCTTAAGATCTCTCGACTTGCTTGTTTTGTGTTTGGTTTTGCACCAAACACTTGTTGTTTTGCTTCTGAGGGCAAGGAATGACTTGTTGGTCATCCCCACACCTCACCAGCCATGGCTTGAGGCCACTGGCCCTGTTTTATTTCTACTGGCCATTAGTGATGGCCGTTCGGCAC